AATTGACTTCTTCAAGTATGCTGAAAGGGATAATTCATTACCTAACAAAGGGAAGCGAAAAGAGGTCATGGAAGAACGTCCAACAGTAGAAGATGAGGCTACAACTGACGAGGAACATAACAAAAAGAGACGTACCGAAACCTCCTCAGGTGCGCCAGGGAAATATTTTAGATGTGGCCTCAACTAACGTCGTATGCAGACCCCCAATCATCGAAGCAAACATCCAGTCACAGAATAGCTGCAACTGGTTCTCGAGTCCCGGCAGCGGTGACGAGCTTCGAGGCTCTCTTGGAATCGTATAAAGTTCCGTCACTTCTGTTGAGAAACATTGCCACCAGTGGCTATGTCCGTCCCACCGAAATTCAATCACAAGGGGTGCCCATCCTTCTTGAGGTACGCAGTCTATAGCTATATATACATCATCTACAACGCATATTTTTATACAGAACCGTGACCTGGCGGCTGTTGCACCTACTGGTAGCGGAAAGACATTAGCATATCTCCTCCCAATCTTCTCCCTCCTCAAATCGCCAATCTCAGCTCGTGACGCCCAGAATGAAGAGAGAGGCGTCGGAGCGAGAGCTCTCATCCTTTCTCCTACAAGAGAACTTGCAAGTCAGATATATAATGAATGCCTGAAATTGGCGCAAGGGAGGAAGTGGAGAATTGTACTCTATGGTAAAGCAACAGGAAGTACGTTGGCGGAAAAAGATGTCCGGGACAAAATTGGTGCGTCTTCTGTATCTCTGAGTAACATTATGGGTATTGACGATAGAATGCACTTGAATGCAGACATCATAATAAGTACACCCCTTCGTCTAGTAAGTGCTTTACAAGAGGACAAGATCGACCTTGACAAGTACGCGTTAATCCTTCAGTCGAGCGTTGAGCATGAGTCAATGATTTTTTATGTTTAGCATCCGGCACTTGATACTGGATGAAGCGGATCGTCTTCTCGACACCAATTTTCTGACCCAAACTGAGGAGCTAATAGCAGCATGCACCCATCCAAAGCTCCAGAAAGCTGTTTTTAGCGCAACTCTCCCAACAAATGTCGAATCAGTAGCCAAAAGCCTTCTTTTCGATCCAATTCGGGTCGTTGTTGGACTCAAGGATTCTGCATCTCTCCACGTCACTCAGACACTCACCTACGTGGGCAACGAAACTGGGAAACTTCACGCACTCAATCAACTTCTTGCAAATGGTCCACCTCTACCGCTCCTCATTTTTGTTCAATCTCGTGAACGAGCAATAGAACTACATGAGGAGCTCATCTATGATGATCTTACCGTGGACATACTTCATTCGGGAATGACGGCGAAACAACGAGACGAGAGCGTCACTAGGATGAGAAATGGAGAGACCTGGATCATGGTTTGCACGGATGTGATGGCTCGAGGAATGGACTTCGGTGGTGTGAAAGGAGTTGTGAATTATGATTTCCCAAACAGTGTGCAGACTTACGTCCATAGGATTGGTGAGTTCACTCGTAGCTGCAAACGAACTGCAACTCATACCTCATCAAGGACGGACCGGACGCGCCGGACGTTCTGGGCAAGCTTTCACTTACTTCACTGACGCGGACGCACCATTTGTCAAAGCCATCGCAAACGTGATCAATCAATCCAATATCCAACAAACAGCCTTTTCCGCTTCTAAACCCGATATCGCTATGGAAGATGCCATTCAACCACCCACATCAACCATTCCCGAATGGATGCTTAAACTACCAAAACCATCGAAGATGAAGAAACGGCAGTTGCTGAAGAAACCAGTGGAGAGAAAATCAGTGGGAGTCGTCGCCGGAAGGAATGTGGGGAAGAAGGAAGCCATTAGAAAGAGACAAATGATTGAGGCATCGAAACGAAGGAAAGCACGGGTGAAGGGTGGAGAAGCAGTAAACGATAATGGAGAATCCTGGACAGGAATTGATTGATACGCCCCGCATGCGTTCCACCATGTGCTTTTGAACTGGCCTGTGATTATAGTGCTAAGTCTGATCAAGCTTCTATGAACATGGTAAATAGTCTAAGTAGATAAATCAGTATATCGGAAGCAATGAAGTTGCTGAATGAAGAATCAGAGCGGAAATGCCAAACATCCAAAGCACCCAGTGCGTTGAGTGGTTGATAGCAGTGAATGAATAGGTTATGCTGCATATTGCTTCCATGACTTTTTTAGTTGCTGAGAGCCAAAGTATGGTCAGCTCGACTTCCACAGGGTAGAATCGGGGAACTAACGAACCTCCAGGAATATAAATAGTAAAACTGTGTTGGGTGCAAGACGTATGAAAGATGGTGTCCAGCCAGCAAACAAGAATCGAGGTCCTTCGTTTCGAAGAGATGTACGTATCACTTCCACGATATTTCCATTCTATGCACATTAGAATATTGTGAGACTTGGAATTGGGTGTGTGTTCGCAGACAACAAATTAACTCACCTTATGAGCCATGACCTTTGATTTGATGACGTCTGCCGGAGAGCACACAGCTGAGGGTGAAGCGTCAGAAATGAAATAATGAAGAATTGAAATTGCGCATACTTGTGGCAACTAATCCCGCAACGCTGCTAGATACAAAGTGAAGCCAAGGTCCGTCTTTGAACTGGAAAGACGAATTTGTCATGAGGAACTGCTTGCACACGTCATATCTGAGCGGCATCGTGAGATTTAGCTGAAATGGGATGTGATAAAAAGACTCACGATGCCATCTGGGAAGACTACCACACAAGGAGAAAAGATAAGGGTCAGAAGTACTTGTGTTGATCTGAATGTACTCACTGTCATGAGCATTGCACGTATCTGGAAAATATTGTGATTAATTAAGAGCCGAACTCATAAGGACATAGCATACTCACGGTATTCGGAACTATGCCTCGCGCTAGAGCAGTTGTTCCTTCTTCCCGAACGATACGGAGAACACCGTCTATTGCGTGGCCATAACATCTGCGCTGATTGGGAGGAAGCACAGCATCACTTGTCATCCGAACAAGCACGATGTCGGCGGGGTTCCCCGCTATACCACCAAGCCCACCTGCTAGGGCACCGGCTAATACAAGTTGAGAAGTTGAAGGCTTCTTTCCTACATATGGCTCTTCAGGGTTTGCGGTTATAGACAGGGACGCAAGTTCATACCGTTAGTAATTTTTGCTTTTATACCCTCATATGACCCGATTCGGACCATGGAGTATGTCAACTGCGAGAAAGGCATATCACGTCCATATCACATTCACAACGCTTCGTATTTGTGCATACTCACCTGGCGAAGCAAGGCCGCTGAGATGCCTTGGTATATTGATGAGACTCCATCCTTATGTATCGACTTTCGCAAAGTCCATATCATGCCAGGCCGTGTATTCCCTTCTACTACTGGCATCGTTTGCATTCGCCTGGAAAAAGCGTGTAAGCCTAAGCCGTGTTATCACGCGTTTTTGAACCTCATACATTTTCGTGACGTCAAGTGGATGTGTGCAAGCGGCGGCCACTGTAAAGTATTTTTCAGTATAGGAACATCCCGTTCAGTAGGAGAAGTATTCACTAGAAGCTGCCACTCCTGTCAATTTCGATGGTTCGTGAGCATTCTCAGGCTGTTTAATGGCCAATTTAACTTACCGCCGAGCCTGTTCAAAAATAAATTGCCAACGAGGCGTTCCTTCAGTGAAAGCAAGCTGTAGAAGTTGAAATTGTAACATACCAGAATGGTGCGCCCGCTGCCATTCTGATTTGACGTTTAGCGGTGGATGGGAAGCGAGCAAAGTGGTGGATGAGAAAACGAGCAGAGAAAGTGAGCTGTGTTGTGAGCGGCAAACTTTGAATAAGCTCGGCAACCTTTTTCGCCGGATCCTGAGATCACGTGTGGCTTACAAACCCAAAAATTATGTCATCAGTTAAAGCTGTACAGTACACTCAGCCCCTCATTCTGATCCTACCCAGGCATTCGTAGTTGCGTGCATTAATCAAGAAAGACACTTCATTATGGTCAGAGGTAAGCAAGTGTGATGGTACTTGTACGCAGCGTCAATTCTCACCTGTACTCTTCCCAGTATATAAGCCGGGCAAGGTAGCCATCGTGCTCAATGGACGACAGGCAGGCAAAAAAGTCGTAGTGATTAAGCAATTGGACGATGGAACAAAGGAACGTCCGTATGCGCACGCCATAGTTGCTGGAATCGAGAGATACCCTCGGAAAGTGACGAGGAGAATGGGAGCAAAGAAGCTCAAGTACAGAAACAAAGTCAAGCCCTTCGTTAAGGTGAGTTAACATGTCATAATGATTGTTGACATCTTTGGCTGACATTGTTATTCCATTATCACAGGCTGTCAACTACTCCCATTTGTTCCCAACACGTTATGCTCTCGAACTAGAAAATCTCAAGGGCACCGTCAGCGCTGAGACTTTCAAGGAGCCATCGCAACGTCAGGATGCAAAGAAAACTATCAAGAAGTTGTTCGAGGAGCGATATCAGAGTGGAAAGAATAAGTGGTTCTTCCAACCCCTAAGGGTAAGTATCGGATACCGTTGGCATTGGTCACTGTCGCAGTACTTACATCTTTCCGTCTAGTTCTGATATAATCGGTCGATATATTCATTCCGCCCTGGTTTCTCACTTGTTCACCTCCTACAATTTTGCTATCAGTCATGTATCTTATAACATGTCAAACCTTTTATCTGGTTAGACGAAGACATGGCTTCGAGCGTACATATCGTCGCATTATCGGACTAGAAAGTCACGGAGATGAAAATCTTAGATTATGCGGCCAGATGCACAAAGATTGTAATGAGCCGCATTCCCAGCAATGACTAGCATCGAATCTATTAGTTACCCATCGTGCACCCATCAATGGAGTCTTGGTATTGTAAAAAGGTGCTGTGAGCTGAGTCATCAGGGTAGTGGGAATGAAGCCATGTGCGAGTGCGGGGTTCACAGGTGCAGTGTGTACATTGACGATGAATAGCCTTGGCAAAACTGCGTGGCAGTCGTCAAGCATGGTGGCAAAAATGTAATCCCTGCCAGGATCGAACTGGCGACCCTCGCATAACATAGGTAACCCATAAGTACGAAGCTCTAAACCACTGAGCTAAGGGATTCCCAGCTCACTGATGGCTTCTATCAGTATCTGTACAATTGAAAGCAGATTATCAGAATACAAGAATGGGAGAGTCTGACAGTGAAGTATTCCATAAACACAAGAAATATACAATCATTGACCGGCATAAACCCTAGAGATGTAACACCTGTCACGCTACGGTCGGATTACTCGGAATCTCGGAATCACTCACCTAACTAGCATATTCTTCGTATCTAATCGTTCGGCCTTCCTTGCATCCGCACCTTCCGCAACCTTTGCCAAGGCACTACCCTCAACTGTTTCTATATGTGTGTTAAGTGCTATTGGCGCCGATGTTGATGGTAGGAGGGCTACCAGGGTCATAAAACATTCGTTCGTAAAACGCGGAGTGGACTTAGGAGTTGGTGATCCCTTTATATCTTTACAAATAAATGATGTTAGATAACAGATGTGGGCAGCGTGAACGGTTTGTCGTAAAGATTCACTGTACATACCAGCGTGTGCACAAACATAAACCTCAATCGACGATCGCCACGCCCGAGTTACCACAGCACGGAAGGTGAGACTGAAACAGAGTGAACTTGAAAAGTTGCTACTAATATCAAAGCATGAGACTTGACATACACGTCACCTATAGAAGCAGCTTCTTTGAATTCCAAACCATCCATTCTTCATGAATTGAGGAATACGAGATTGAGCACCAAGGCTTAAGTTATTCAGGGAAATGGCCTACCCTGCCGTTGTCCATGCCACATGCCGCTTCACCCTATGAGCAGATATCAAGGCAACGTTTTCCATCCACTCTGTAGATGATTTCATCCATAGGTAGTCACTTGATTAAGGTAGTATTGACTTACCCATTAGCTGTCCGCCAAATAGAACACCATTGCTATTTGCGTGCTTTCAAAGTGAAGAAAGTCCGTAAGTGTCTCCTATCCCCAAGTAACCGGCCGAGCTTTACCTGAGGCATGACGATATGCATCGTGCAAGCAAACGTACTCTGGAGAGCGACTGAATGCTTTGGTGGGCCAACTTCTTCAAAGTTCGATATTGTACTTTCCTGAAGAGTGGACAAAGTGATGGTAGGGGATTCTAGCTGATTTCTCCGGTTGAGCCAAATGGAAGAGGAACGTCGAATGTCTTGAGACGGTGATGGAGGTGAACCGGTTACAGATGATGCCCCATCAATCCATGTCCCTCTCCTGCCTCGCTTACGGCCTGAGAGTACCTCATGCAGTTCGTTCAAAGGCACCACAGGGGCTTCCAATCCTCCATGAACATCACTACGTATCGAAACCAGCGTTTGACCGTCTTGACCTTCGAATTTTATCACTGATGGATCATTGGTGCTTAAAGCATCGGCGAGAAGTTCCTTTTCCAAGGAGAAGATTTCCCTCTGCTGATCCCCGCTCCCTTCAGTAGAATCAGCTGCAGTTTCATTTCCCACAGCCACCTCTAGCTTAAGCACCTCTTCCCGTACGATTTCATATCCTTCGTATGGATGTGGACCGTTTAGTCGTAGTTCCCTTCGTCGTCCAGCCAGAAGATAACGTTTCTTCTCAATGAGTGTAACGGGAATGATTCGCTTTAGTTTCGGCCTTGGCGGACGAGGCCCTGACTTTTCACCTCCGACTTTTATTGACGGGGAAGGTCCGCCATTGGGTTTTGGTGAAGGTGCCAGCGCGACGAAGGTGAGGTATGCTGCATTAGGTCAATGGGTGAGAAATGAGGTGGAGGGAACCGAACAAAATCGCAAATACCATGACAGCAATATTGGGCCTTTCCTGTGAGCGGATCCTCTCTAGTGACCTTAATACCCGTTTCTAAAATCAATGTAAGATGATAAGAGATTGTGGTTGAATGAACATGTTGGGTGTGGCTTACCAAGGGAAGATCCCCAGGCTCTGTTTACACTCCCATACACGTGTATCGTGTCTCCCGCCCTAATCTCCTGAACCAATATGAATCTATCCAAGCTTATAGTCACACAAGACATCTCAGAATGGCGACGCGAAGCCACTCCGGCTACAATATCGATGATTTTGAGCATTTCACCAGCAAAAAGCCTTCCATATTCATCTGAGAGTAAACGGTGGTTACACGCAAGGCACCAAGAGAATTAAGAGTGTGCTCACCTGTCATATCCTGAGTTATTCTATACATGACGCTGACTGAACTCTGGGACACGGTCTTGCCTCCGGGATCGGAAGCTTCTTTGGTGGCTGACAACTCTTGGCGACCTTTTGCTGGGACCGCTGCCTGATACAAAAGCTTCGAATAATCTTGGATAGCATCCCTGTATGCCACTGCAAGTAAAACAACCGCTGAGGCCGCCAAGAGCGATACACCAGGCGTAGTGAGGCTGGACATGACGAAGAGCAGAGATGGTCAGGTGCACCAGTGGCTTTCCCTATTTGCCCGAGGTGAACAAACAAGGGACAACAACGCGCTCGATATTTTGTTTTCGACCACCATCGCGCTTTTATTACCATGGACGACTCACCTGATCCCTCTGCTCAATTCTTTCCAGATGTACCTTTGGAGGAGATTGATTTGTATGCAGTACTCAATCTCACAAAGGAAGCCTCAGCTTCAGATATAAAATCAGCCTACCGCAAACTCGCGCTCGTTCACCACCCGGATAAGCATTCGAATGCTACTCCGGAGAAGCAGGCAGCTGCTTCAGAGAAGTTCCAACAAATTGGCTTTGCTTATGCTGTTTTAAGCGACGAGAAGAGAAAGGGGAGGTATGATAGGACAGGGAGAACGGATGAAGGTGGTGGGATAGATCCAGGCGAGGGTGGTTGGGAAGCGTATTTCGAGGAGCTGTTTGATACAGTGACGCGTGCCAAATTAGACGAGATGAAGAAGGAATATCAAGGTGAGTTCGCCGTGGCCTTAGCACTTGTTGTTGGACTCGTTCTCACACCATCGCTTCATAGGCTCCGAGGAAGAGGTTAATGACCTGAAAAATGCCTACACCCAGTCCAAAGGCTCTCTTGAGGCTATCATGTCTGAGATACAGCACTCAACGTACGAGGACGAGGCTCGATTTGCAGAAATTATCAATGGACTTATCGCAAAAGGAGAACTCAAGAAGTTCCCTCGATGGGAGCGTGACCTCAAGGATACCAAAGGAAAGGAGTCACGGAAGAAGGCCGCCTTGAAGGAAGCCGCTCAAGCCGAGCAACACGCAAAGGATCTTGGCGTGTGGGATGAATTCTATGGAAGTGGGAAAGAAGGTCCCAGGAAGACAAAAGGCAAGGGCAAGGGTGATGCCGCACCAGCGGACGATGGTGAAGCAGCTCTTCAGGCCCTCATTCTTAAACGCCAGCAAAGTCGAGCCGGTGCTTTCGATAGCTTGCTAGCCAAGTACGGTGCTGCAGACGCAGAAGAGGATGCTAATGGCAAGAACTCGAAGAAGAAGAAACGGGGCAAGGCCGCGGAAGAAGAGGAGGAAGTTGAGCGACCATCAAAGAGGTCAAAGGTTGCGAGTGCTGGAGGCGGTAGTCGTCGGACGGGGAAGAAAGGCAGCAAGGCCCGATGATGGGGATATTGGGATGCGACAAACTCCTGCTATCTGTTTTCTGTATTACATATTCTGTTTTAGTATTGGTATACTATGGAGCTTTGCTTCGCCAATAGTTTGCATTATGTAGACTTGGCTTACATCATCCATTAACATGAACGCGGATTGTACGCGTGACGACCTGCCAAGTGGGGACTATCTGCGAATGCTTTCAACTCGGCTTCGATCTATCGCTCCTGTGTGGAACCTCCGAAAACAAATTCAATCCCTTGTCCAAAGACATATGTCCGTCTTCAACGCATCCCGATTGCAGAACAAGACTGTTCTCATCACCGGAGCTAGTGGTGGGATTGGCGAGGTCAGTATTACCAAAGAATTACATTGAGCTCTTGCTCCACGGGAAGTGACTCAACACGCTTTCGTCCTGTACTCTTTTTCAGGCTACAGCAATACTCTTTGCTAAGGTGAACAGTTTCGTTGTGAAATATATACGCCTTGTTTTAATTTAATGACGTCCGATAGGCCGGATCTAACGTGATTCTAGCTGCCCGAAGAGAAGAGGCATTAAAGAAAGTAGCAGCAGATTGCACCAAGGCTCACCAAGAATCAGGTGTTCAAGCAGGTGGCAAGTTCTTTCCTGTCAAGCTGGACGTCTCCGACCGCAACCAAGTTAAGACCTTCATGGACGACGTCCCTGCAGATCTGAAGGCCATCGATATTCTCGGTAAGGCTTGAACTATCCACTGCTTCTAAGATCAACGGATGTCTTAGGCCCTTCAATATATTCATAGTGAACAATGCGGGATTCGTTCTTGGAGTTGAGAAAATTGGAGATATCTCCGAGGATGACATGGAAGCAATGTTTACCACCAATGTGTTTGGTTTGATATCTGTGACGCAGAGATTTATCAAAGGCAAGTAACTACCAATCTGTGCTGTATTATGGCGTTAAAAATTACGGCCCGTAGACTTCCGAGCCAGAGGAACCGGACACATAATCAACATCGGGTCAATTGCCGGCCGCGAAGCTTATGCCGGAGGTGCCATATACTGTGCTACTAAACACGCTGTTGCGTCCTTCTCTGGTTCGCTTCTCAGGGAAGTCGTTGATTCCCCCATCCGGGTGACAGAAATTCAGCCTGGTATGGTGGAAACAGGTTGGTCTTAGGATCTCAAAATAGCTCGTGACTTTATATGCTGACTAAGGCCACGACATAGACTTCTCTGTTACGAGGTATAGAGGAGACAAGAATGCTGCCGATAAAGTCTATGAAGGCATCCAACCCCGTACGTTCTATTGTCCCGATTGCGTTACAGACTTAATAATTACCATCTCTAGTTGTGGCCGAGGACATTGCTGAGGAGATCGTATGGACGGCCTCCAGACCGCCACATGTGAACATCGCACAAGTATTCGTTTTGCCAGTCAACCAAGCCTCTGCAACCATCAGCTACAGAGCGCCACAATGAATATTATCTTGGGATTAATT